TGGATGAACTGACCAAAGTCATCCCGTCCTTTGGTATGCACTTTGCACCCACAAAGTGTAAGGTCATGCTTGTGGACGTACAGTCACTGAACACGCCACTTACAATCCAGGGAGAAGTACTGGAAGTTGTGGAGTGTTTTACGCATCTTGGTAGTTGTATTAGTTCTGACTGTAGTGTGACGGATGAGGTGAATGCACGAATCTGCAAGGCTCGGGCCGCGTTTTCTAACTTGAGACACCTATGGCGTCAGAATGGTTTATCCCTGAATCTGAAGGGGCGTGTGTATCAAGCTACAGTACGGGCTGTTTTGTTGTATGGCTGTGAGATTTGGCCTATTCGAGCAGCGGACCTGAGACGTCTTCAGGTGTTCGACAATCGTTGTCTGAGAACCATAGCTCGTGTGGGTTGGTGTCAGCGAATCCGTAACGAGGCAGTTAGAAAGCGTGTTTTCGGTTGTGTAACGGGTACTTCCATTGAAGAATGTGTCCAGCACCAGAAGCTGCGTTGGTTGGGACATGTGTTACGTATGCCGGATCATCGTTTGCCGAAGAGAGTACTGATTTCCATGCCCAATTCGGAGTGGCGTAAACAGAGAGGTGGCCAACCCTTGACTTGGCAGAGAAGTATGAAGGAGATCACGAAACGCTTGGGTGCTATCGGTGCTACTCGCCTTCCAGGATGGGGACCGCGTGATCCTCACTGTGCCTGGTTGGAGACACTACAAGATATGGCTGCCAACCGATGTCAGTGGCGTTCTTGTTTTCAGTTTCTATCCAGATTGCCTGAGTGAATATCTGGAGGTGTAGGCACCTCAGAATGATTGTGTTAAGCTAGCATCCCTCCCCTCCCCCATGCACCTTTATTCTTTTCTTTACAATAAGGCTTTCAAATAAGTCATGGCTGTACGGCAGTGAAGCATTGGTGCACTGATGTCTGTTGAGCACTGATGTCATGCTGTCGTTGTCTTGCGTAATTATTGTGACTCCTCCACACCGGATGGAAGCACTGGACTCGAGTTTTGCTCTTATCTGAGCTCATCAGCAGTGCATATCCAGTGGCCGTCTCGGGATTTGAACTCCGGACATCTGACATGCGAGTCCAGCGTGTTACAACTACGCACGTTGGACGCATCTGAATTTTCACGTCTGAATAGGCGAACTTGTTCACGCCTGAGCGGTTATTGGTGTGTCCGACTCAAACGCCAGAACAGGTGGACGACTGTTCAAACAAGGGTGATGTGAATATGAACAAAATACATGTCCCGCAAAACCCCACAACAGCAACTGAAATTGTTCGGCTTACACAGCGGTCAAACTTATCCCCATTTTTCCACGGGTCACTTTTACTCAAATTTCGCGTAACCATGATTTGAGCCCCGTTTCTGGTGGCCCCGTAACACTGGTAGACTATCTGAATTGACTGTGGTAGTGAGTCTTCACTTCCTGATGACGTCAAACAGTGGAAGCAACGAAATCGATTGGACGTGATTAGCTTAACGTGTATACCTTTTCTTTTCCTGCTCCAAAGTACCCAGCGAGGATGAGAAACCAAAACATAATAAAATTCTCTGTCCTTATTCATCTCGAAACTTACGGTTATCAGGATGAATGACGCCTTGTCTGCCGCCATACTGGGACAAGGACCGATAGAATGCCTTTTTAAGCATGCCTGCTTTTCCAATGGACGACTTATTTGGTTGTACGGTCCCGGTGGCTGTATCATGCTGAATCGGTAATCCCGACCCAGCGGAATAATGTTATGGCAAGGTTGTGTGGGTGCATCCGTCGTTATCACGAGCACCCTATGGTAGTTACAAAAAATCATTCAGCTGTAGCACCCTTTCAGTGCCTAACTGCCATACCACCCGAAGGTTGCCTGAGGGCTGGGATACTGCCAGGTTGCCCAAGCCTAGACAGGGGAAGTCGGGTTCGAACCACGGACGTTCCGGTCAGTAAATGAATGAATAACATCAACGGACGACGGAGTTAGCATCACTCAACCAAGAATTGATTAAAATAATCGGTGCACTACCTGGATGAACATACCAGCTGGAACCATTGTGCTTCTGTGCGTCTAGCAGCCTTACTCTAGATGAGGGATGGAGGTTTGGGTTGGGGACTATGAACGGTGGTTTTCGAAGATGGTAATTTTCAGCTCTATGAAATCGGTGATGCCTGTTTACCGTTGTCTTATGTGACTACCATTGAGAATTTAGGACAGAAGAGCTTAGGCCGAAAAAAATATATCATCCTATTCATCACTAGCCTTCTTAGTACAGCTCCACATATCCTTTGTTGAGCCCAGGCTAGTCAGTTTAAACAAGCAGACATGCTCTTTATTTTTTGCTGGCTTTAAAATCGAGTTTATTCAAAGTAGCACCCTTCGCATATTTGCAGGCTTGCTTGAGCCAACTGGGGCGAGATGATGTTTGGAGCGCGAATTTATTGACCGAAAGGTTCGAATCCGACCTCTGTTTCTCGACTTCCTCTGTCTAGGCTTGGGCAACCTTGCAGTATCCCAGCCCTTGTGCTTCTTTCGAGTGGCATGGCAGCTAGGCATCGAAAGGGGGCTACGGCTGAACTATTAGCCTTCTCAAAGTTATTTCAATGACACTCAATCTCCAACCCCCGTTATCCTAAAGAACACGTAGATGTTCAGGGGTCGGTACTGGTTTTCCGGTAGACCGAGTTGTTCGAGCCATTTTTATTTCGCATAACATCATAGTCGGCCAGTGCGTGGTTAATGTTCGTCGGTTTTACGACTCTGTGTTATCCTTCTGGCTCTTTCATGTTTCAAAACTGAATTGTAAAAAACGATGTCTCATCCTTCAGTTATTCGTTACGTCGCGAAGTCAATACGTTACCCTGTGAACTGTTTTTTGTTTTGAAGACGATCAACAGACTTACATCCCAACTGAGAGATGCGAACAAAGACCATCAATTCCTTGTGGACTATTCCCTCAAGGTAAGCTGAACTATTTTCTCGCAGGTCATTCTTTTTATTTCCTTCTATCTAGGAGGAAGAATTTAACCGCTGTGCTCAACAATTTGCTTCAAGTGTGCCCTCTTAATTTGACTTGTGTTACGGTCCTTGTTGGTTTGCTTTGTCCCCCATTGTGATCAGTGTTCTTTTCAATAAATAACCTTTCCGAGCCATTCGGTTGAGTTTACATTTGACTGTCGTTCCCCTTACGAAAAGCCGTTTATACACTACTTCGGTTGACTCCTGGTGGTTTTCAGATTTTGAGACAATTTCTGCAAACTTTTTCAACTCTGTTTGGTGTCACCCAACGGTTGATTCTGTTCTATGGAATGGGGTCAGTGTGCACGGCATGACACCTTATATTGGTGTAGGCTGTCTTGCAGCTCGACACCCAAATCTCTCGTCCATCTCGTTTGACCTATGAACTCAATCCACATGGAGGAAGAGGTTTGACCTCAAAATAGATTTCTGATAAAAATGGATTGCCTCCTTGAATCTCGACTACAGTGTTCGGCAGTGTTTACCTCATATAATGTAAAGAAACAGCAAATAAGATGCCCGTTTGAACAGCAACCACTTTCAAACAGAATTAACGGAGTTATGAAGGTATGAATCCCTACCCGGATTTATGTATTTTCCTCGGTGACAGAAATAGTCTGATTCAGAGGATTCTGGTGGAAGGGGAAGTAGTTGGGCTTGCAATGACGGCTGTGTGACTCGGATGCAGATACTGTCGATGAGAAAAAACAGCTGGCAATTCTGGCAGTGAACTAAGCAGCTGATCGAAACATTAGGACTGTGATCCTTCATAAGCTTCAGTATGACGTCGCGGTGACACGGACATCCCAACAAATACTGCCGGCATTGTTTAGTAACATCAAGCCCATGGATCGTTCTTTCTGCCTTCAAAATTTTGGTTTGATCTACTAACGATATGGCACCATACGGACGATCCTATCTTCCATACGCCACGTAAACTGTGGTATCTGGTGTTTCGGGAGCGATAAGAATTCCGGTAGAAATCATTCGAAATTCAATCGGCGGGATGTGCTTTATCTAACGACGATAAATGTATTTATCAACGACTGATAAAAACTGCCACCTTGAAATGGTGCTCCGGTTTATGGTTTTCAATGATCCCGCGTACTACACTGACTGGAACTTAGTTCCACAAGGTTCAGATCTGTCAGGAAAGCCAGAAGGTTACACTCAGACTAAGAGCAGCGAGACTATGCACTACGAATAGTCGTGTTGCGATATGGTCTCGGGGTAAAATACTGTTCTCTGTGATGAGAGCATGAAGGCCGTAAACTGTTTCTCGCAGGCGATTAGCACGTCCATTTTCATGGGAGCAGCGACGCTGTCTTCTCTCAAAGTTAGAAAAGGTAAGCCGGTTCGCGAGAATGACGTTAGGGGGCCCAGTGTTTGACTGTCGGTGTCTTCGGAGCATTGCCCAAACCTGATGTAAACATCGAATCAGCAGCGCTGAAGTACGTCGACTAGCCTTCTGAAGAAATAATCTGCCCACAATAGGTGAACAACAGGCTCCACGCGTTGCGCTGAATCGATTATGTGCTCCGTACGTCGAAAGGCTCTTTTCTCAACCATACTGCTATATCTGCTGATTTGCTAATCTGTTTTATCTGCTGCTGACTCGCTCCAGTACCAAGTACCTGAAAAAGACCTACAGAAGGGAACACAACAGCTATATTCCGAACAAGCTAGTGCAGGAGCAAAAGTTACAACGGCCCCACACTTTTTAAAGGGGGCTTTCTGACATTTATCCAGACTGTCTGATAGGCGTTAATGATCACCCGTCAACATCAATCGTGCCTCTATGAAATGCATGAACGCTGATCACATTCGGTCGCGCTTTTGTGGCGTGCATGAGGACTCGGCTTTTGCTGAATTGATTGAGTGATTGGTAATTGATCAGGTGGCTGTTGACCTGCTCGCCGAGCTTGGCAATCGATTTGCAAACGTTTCGTCACCATTCGAGGAGACATCTTCAGTGCGCACTTAAGATGTCTCCTCGAATGTTGACGAAACGTTTGCAAATCAATTGCTAAGCTCGGCGAATAGATCAACAGCCACCTGATCAATTACCAACCAGTACACCCGAGCTACCAATATTCCAACACATTGATTGAATGACTACCTGGCCTGGATTCTTGCCGGCTTTCCTGTTGAGATTTTGGTGCAGTAGTGGGTACCGAGCGTTCTGAGGTTAGTTTCAGGCATCTGACCTTTCTGATACATACACAGGGTGGAAACGAGCCAGGGGAGGTCAATGAGTAAATTGGCAGAGAAGTGTTAAAGTGGTTACCAGCAAACTTAGCCGGTTTGCACATCGCCGCGTACCTGGATGTGAACCCGGAGATGGGACATCAATGGTTGAAGACACTGAGAAAGATGACCGGGTCGCGTAATCAGTAGTGCACATGCACCCAACCTGTTGCCTTCAATACATAGCCTCATCTCCCCGATCTTCCAGTTGAAAGTCACCTGATTTACGCGCTTATTGCATCAGCCGCCGCGTTCAGTACGGCTATATGCTCCTATCTCCGCTGACCAGCGGATAGACATGCAGTATCTATGAACGTCACAAAATGTGCATGACTTATGAACTGCGTGGGTAGATTTCTAATTACACTCCGCACTCTTCTAGCACACCACCATCATCCCAGTACATCGGCATCTGGCGCTTACTTGGCATGCAACCATGGATCAAGGAGGCCCCAGTAAAGATAAGAGGGGTAGTAACTAATTGCAAAGAACCCAGAGAAAGTGTCCACGATCGAGGTGCCTACACCTCCCAATACCATTGGGATGAGCACATCGGACAGTTTTATTAGGTTTATGATGCAGCTGTGCTAAAGAGATGACGATGACCAAAAGTATGAAGGTGCCTGAGGTCTTCAGATCTTTGAAGCCGAGTTTAACACTCACAATAGGACTGCTATCAAGGTCATTTCGTAGACATGGCCGTCTAAACTCTGGTGCTTGTTTCTGACACTGAATGTGACGCAGATCGGCAAATGATGTGTGTTCCTTGGTTGTGTGTTCATTGACTTCATATATCGCAATGAAATTACGGTATATTTTTCACATTTTGATAGACAGGATCGAGGCTTTCGCACACGCTTCCTGGGTCGGGTTAGTTCTTGTCGTTCAGTGGCTCCCGTTCACCCGAAGGGCACAAGCGAAAAAAAGGTGTAGCACCGCTTCTTAAGCTCTTAGCGCAGGAAGCCACGTAGAAAGTCGTTTACAGGCACTCTGAATTGGTAAATGGATACAGCGTGAACAACTGTCGGAGGAGGGCTATCCCAAGCACCAACTACCCGAAATGAGAAGTGTAACCTAATAAAAGTGTGCATCCCGAGTTTAAAAATCTTACCGTGCCCCCCCCCGTGTATTAGCTGGGTCACCGATGGAAAGCTTATTGACTGTCTTTTTCGAAGAGGGCATGAGTGTTAGGTCTCCTTGGGGGCGACGATTAACTAAGGGAAATAGATTAAGCACCACGAATTGCGTTTCACGATTAACGGATTCAGGGCAGGCAACGATTTCCGTATCACCTCGTTGGACACGACCAATGTAGGTCACATCTTTCTTGCGTCCTGAGCAAACAAATTGGTTGGCATATGCAAGAAGCGGTCTGAATTAGGCCCCATAGAGCATCTGGAAGTTCATACGGGGGGGGGGGGCGAAGAATCATTCGCAGAACGGCGAATGACTTTCGATCCGAGTTTTCATGGTGCAGGTCATGCTTGTTATTGTTTCGTACTCTATCCTTGTAATGTCTTCCGGTCCCTTCCTCCCTTNAGGCGCTGACTGAGTCTCCTCCGAATGACATGGACGCACTTTTCGTCATTTAGGAGAAGGTGCCGGTCCAGCGATCACTGTTTTGCAGCGTCTATCTCCATTTGGCGAACACTCTCGTTTGAATCCCAGGATTTCAAGAAGTCCACGAAGATTAGACATGATCTTGACCATCGATGTAGGTGCAGAAACAGGAACTTCAATGGAGACCGGCGCCGAAGGAGGGCCTAATTTCACACAGAATGATCTATCTGATGGGGACGCCATAATCCAGCATGGAAATTCCCCTTGAATCCTGTAAGACCCGAGTTTGTGTAGCAGCTAGAGGTGTGAGACTCGATCGAAGGCTTTTGAGAAGTCGAAACATATGACATCGAATATGAGTCACTCGTACTAGACTGTCCATAAATACGAGCACTTTCATCGAGCAAGATCGGTTTGGGAGGAAGCCGTGTTACACTTGGGGTAGGAATTTGTGGTTGATGAGGTGATTTAAGGTGGCCCGCTTCCGGAGCACTCGAAGCGAATGATGCAGTTGAGAATTTGTCACCACCAACCTGCACACCAGCACCACACCTTACTACCAGTTTCAACATCTGAGTAATTGTCCTTACCCCGAATGCCCTCGCGTGGCAATATTGGCAACGTCCTCAAGTAATTACACGGTACCCATACAGGATCTTCTTCGTCTGCCCACTTTTCAGCACGCAAGGCAGAGTATTCAAGAACACCCCTGTGAATATGCTAGTGATCGTGGAATCTCTCCCATAAATAAAAATCCATGCCTACTGTCAATCCACGGGAAACGAACCTGCAACTCACTCAAAAGTCAAAATAACAGTCAAGCAAAAAATTTTCGCAGGCAACCAAATCCACTCTGGACAGGACACACCTCTGTGTTTGCCAAATACAAGGCGAGCATGACGGATAGCCATTTCTGTTTGGCCGATCCACCACCCGTCATCTTTGCCAGTTTTAACCAGGTAGATGGATCTGAAATTCCTTAGCTCATTTGTTTAGAACCGCAGACTGAGTCTGATCCGACCGTTAGATGAAACTTAGTGCCAGCTCTGCCCAGACAAAATATTCAAACGTGCCGGGTGATCGTGGCACATCCGTACCATTTCAATTTCAGGAAATCTGGGGTTGGTAACCAAAAGTACTGCTAAAAGTAGTGACCAAAATTATGAATCAGTCAACGTATATCTACCTCACCTTGTTGGTTCCAAAACAGTGATATTGCAGTACTGAGAGTCAGTTCCTTGGATGCCTACAAGCGAGGGTGCTGCTTACGTATTCATCTAGCGGATCACGTTTAGAACGTGGCCGTCGTTCTACAGATTTTCCCTTGAGTCACACCAACATGAGTCTCCCAGTATGCCTGGACACCTTCACTCTGGCCAGCTGGAGGCTGTTAGAATTGTGCCTCCCTTTCTTCATTTGCCAGAAGCGCTCTTCATGCGAGCTCACACACAGACAAAGTGAACCATCCCGGATTGTG